GAAAAAACATACATTAGAAATTGGATATTTTTCCATGTACTTGGGAATGCAATACTGAATATCCGGAAAAAATATATAGAGATCACACTCACAAGGGATTCCAAAATAAAGGGCGCCAACATGGCACCAATCTCTGACACCATTGTGCAAGTCCCAATCCCTCGAACTCGCACTTCAGTCGGGAAAAGTTCGCTGACGTAAAGGACCACGATCTGGTATGCTGCTGTGATGGCTAACCGACCCAGCATGGCCATTGTGACCACCAGCCACTCCAGGGCTGTAAACGGGCACAATGATTTTACCTGAATTGATATGATCTTTAGTTGTGGCTGAACTGTAGCTAGCCGGGAAACTACCCACCATCTGGGATGAAGCCGAGCACCAAGAGCGAGCCGGCGGTGACCACGAAGAACAGCGTGCTCGAGGCTCTCCTGCCCATCTTCTCTACGAGAGGAATGGTCAGCGTGCCGCCAGGGACCTCCATCACCCCGCTGACCGCCATGTACACGAACGGGTCCACGCCCAGCTTGTCGGCGCCGAACGAGAGGCCGTAGTAGACGATTCCCAGCACGAAGAACTGGGCATAGAACGACAGCGTAATGCTGCGCATTCTCCTCGTTCTGGAAGCCAAAGGAACTTTTAATATTCTTTTCCATTCCAGATTCCAGTTATAAAAGACAGTTAATATTTTTACCATATCACAAAGCATAAAGCATCTAATAGAGGATTCAATCAATACATTTCTCTTAATAAGAGTAATAAACATTTTTATATGTGAAATATGAAAAATATGAAAGTATGGTAACCTTTTATAAATGCATGAACCATAAATTTTGCAGAAGTTGCCACCTACTGAAGTGCTTGATTAAGCATATTAATAAACAATGGGTATTAGTTTCACATTCCCCATCTAGAGTGAACTGCACCACAATGGTAGCTAAAATCAAGTTCGTTTCAGGGAGCATGTGAACAAAATACTGTATTACATGTTTATTTCTATCACTAGTCTTTAATACTCTTGTTTATTTGTATTCATGCTCCATGAGTATGTTTTAAAAAAATTCGATCTTGCATTTTTGTTGCTTGCCTGAAGAAGACGTAATTTGTTAATTTGTTAAAGCTATAGTCGCAGTAGTCATATACAGCTGTGTGGATTCAGAAAATGCAGTAAACACCATATTTACTCACAAATTTAAAAAAATATGTCAATTTTTAATATCATCCATCAATACCAACATCAATATCATCCTAGCAACATACTGAATGAACAGCAAAACTAACCTCACAAGCACAACGACGTCCTCCACTATATTCCTCAAGGAACTAACAAGGCCCGAGGTGGACGCATCGCCTTCCTTATTCGCAGTCAGTCCCTATTGAACACCAAGTGCTTATGTAAACACGGATTATGAATTTTGAGTTTTAGTTTGTCAGCTGAGATAGACCAATTTTTTTCTTTTCGTTTTCTGTGCTTACAGAAACAAAGAGAGGGAGAAAACTTAAATTAGAATGCCATGTTTTAATATTTCTAAAACCAAAAGTAAATCAGTTGCCGATTACTCTAGGTCTCTAACGCGTGTTCCTATACAATAGTAGATGATCTTATGGCATTTTTTTACCTATTATTTTCAATATATAATTTTTATTTTTTATTTTTTGTGTGTGAAATGAAAGCTATAATACAAAGAACTAAGAATTTCAGTCAGCCTTTTACCGTAATGCAAGCTTTTATGGCAGTGACATAGGTTTTCAAGAAAAATAATGATTAAATTGCAATCATTTTAGAGAACGGAAATTCAAAAATCTGCTCACCTCCTTCCTGATGAGGTCCATGAGGGCGCGCAGCTCCTCCTCGGGCGGCAGCTGAGCCTTGTTCCAGCGCGCAGATTTGCGGAGGATGCGCAGCGCATCGTCATGTCGCCAGCGTGGCGATTCGTCCAGAAACCTGGAATTGTTGTACTTATTAATTGTAAGTGTGTGTGTGTGTGTGTGTGTGTGTGTGTGTGTGTGTGTGTGTGTGTGTCCAGGTTTACCGCACTTGCAAGAGAGAATGAAAATTTGCATCGACTCGCCACCTCCTTCCTCTTTCAATACAAACACTCCCACAGACTCACAGGAGCATCGGCAGGAAGAGCAGGCAGGGCAGGGAGGTCGTGACGCTGAACCAGCGCCAGTCCCGCAGGAGGTAACCGTAGCCTCCAAGGACGATCAGGCACAAGGCCCATGGGAGGAAAATGAGAATGCTGACGGCCGCCCTGTACTTCGGTTCGCTTACTTCCATGGCCGCGGAATGAGTTAAGTACTGGCATTATTTTCATTACTGATACTCCTCTACTGTTATTCATGCATCTGTCATCAATATCTTAATGTTATATTTGTTATATTTCTTATTACCATAATTTTTCTCATTATCACAATATCATGTTTATTAATAATATCTTTGTCATAATTTTTATTGTCATCTTGATAAATGTTAAAACATTATCATTATCACGTATTACCTTTGGAGTATAGGTAATCTTTAGGGTAACCACATTGTGAACATGTTGGTAGAATCGGAATATACGTAAATTGTTTCTTATACTCCTTTGTAGAACAAAATAAGATGTATGAGAATCCATTCCTAGCTGATCAGTATGTGATGCAAATTAATCTGTTCCCAATTATCCTGAAGATCCCGGCCATACGGTCACCACATGGTACTCCACCTCCCGCCTTGTGGAAATATTTATTTATGGCTGGACTCCCCCCTTCTCTGCTCAAACTAAAATGCTAATGGACAGATAAAAGGTTATTATTGGGGTTGGCATGGTTCAGTTAATACAATTACTCGTATGTAATGGTTTCTTATCCAGCGGAAATGCTCATTAACATGAAAGTTTGTCCATTTGGAATTGGGCATTTTTATCCATCCCTCTTTACATTCACACATAAACATGTGTGCATGAGCATGTTCAATAAAAATGAAAAGTATAAGATCTTCCAATGACTGGCAATTCTTGCTGATTTAAGTATGTATGTACCATGATAATATATTGCTATCCTGTTAAATGGGAGGTATATTTACAAGAGCTGTCGAAGTAATTAAATATTACAACCACTATAACAGAAGCTATGGCAAACCTGAAACATGGATGGGAGCAAACTTATCCTGACATATTTGGACCTGTTGCTCCTTAGCTAGCTTCTCATTCTAATTTAGTGCTCTTGAGACAGACTTTGCTTTGCTCTAAGCCCAGAAACAGTGAATATCTCGAAGGGATGTCAATTCTGTCTTCTCTCAGTAGAAACCCTGAACTGCTGACCTCTTTCTATAGCAATAATGAGCCTTTCACACTTCATCCCTGAAGAGGTTCTATCCACTGCTTATCAGTTCTTATGGTTAGAACTTGGCAATATGCATGAAGAGTTAAGGCCAAGGAAATGTATACATTGGATTCCAACTTTGCTGATGGAAAAGAATAAATACGAATGTTTTTGAGTATGTTGTGTCTAGATGAATCAACTTGAGATGAATTGTCCAAAATGGCTTAGACATTGTTATAGGAAATGAATGTTGGTGATTCTTTGCCACCTGAAAAAAGCAGTCCAACATGGTGAAGTTGGATGATGTGAAGCTCCAACCTCAAATTCACACCCAATCAGCATGGGTGTGATGCCCCAACAGCTCATGATCAAAACCCAGTACTACATCAATTAGGCCCTTTTGTAGGTTCTGGAACACATAGCCAATTCTACACCCAACAATACCTGCTGAACCAAGACCATTTTTCGCTTGCCTCACTATACATTACCCAGAGTGGTAAGAGTTCTGTTGATGGTAAGGAATGCTTTATTATCATAATTAAAGTAAGGGAATTTTGCTTTTACATCTGATAAATATAAAATATTGATTACATTATACACATGTATATAGCAGTATTTGATATCTCACGGTGCAATTTCATAGGCTAAACGTGATTACGTCATTAGCTCCTCTCCATCTATCCTGTCAATCTGTGTAATATTTCATGTTTTTTTTGTTTTTTTTCATGTGCATTTTCTTGGAAAATGGTTCAGTAACAACAATGTTTGTAAAATGATCAGAAAAGAAACTAAGAAAAAATAAGTAATAAATAAACATATTTGCAATGAACAAAGAAGTTGGCATTAGTTCTGAAGTTGCCACCTAGGATTTTCATTAAAACGTAGTGGGGCTACCAATTTTGAAATACCTTGGGTTCACCTTTCTTACCCTTCGCCCAACCCGCCCGACCCTGCCCACCCACATAGTTTAGTTGTTTCTCATGATCAATGCTGGGATCGCTGAGAAGCAATTTCACCTGATCCACAATCTTGTGCAAAAGGTATATCCTAAGCTTTTAAGTATTACAATTGCTGCTTGGCATGGCAAAAGGGATCAAATATTACAGAGAAGCAGGAAGCGTACAATTAGAAAAACTTACAACCCTTTTTTGGTAAAAATATTCCTTCACTATCATTATTTTCCGATCAATAATCAAACTATTAGTTAGAGTTTTTCTCAACTGCATTTGCTGTTTGAATGTAACTTTCTATATACAGGATTATAGCATTATATTTGAATGTTAAATCAAAATTAAATGGAAATTTTACTTTGCAATACCAGTGTATGTGAAAGGTCCATATTTGATGATGTGAGCAGGAAGTTGAAATAAACCTCAGTAAAGCCATTATCGCCAGCTATAAAACAAACGGGATCATCTAAATGTTTACAAAAAGTAAAATGGAAGTGTGATGTCGGGCGACGAACCCCACGTTTG